CATGTAAAGCTTTAGAGACAGCCGCGTGGACAAGCCACACACTTGTTGCACGAACAAAAAACTGACTCAAAACAATTGCCACATGCGTAGGCGCCAGTGTCGGTGTGGGTGTGGGGCTTCGATGTCGCTCGGCTCGGTCGTTCGTCGCCTCAGTGGTTCGTGCGGCTTGGTCGCATTGTGGGCGGGAGTGGCGGTGGTGTGCGGTGTGTGGCGGCACTTTGAGTGCAAACTCAAATTGACAGAAAGCGCTGAAATTTGCATTTTTAGCGCGTGCAAATGAACAAATGTGCGATGCTCGTATTATTTTCATTTCCCATACTATATAGTATACTAGTAAAAAGATAATTATAATCAAAGAGTAAAGTTGGCTCTTTTGCAGAGCAGTTCAAGTGTTCAGCGAGCGCAGAAGCTTTCAATGCAGGCACATTCGCACTATGGAATCATTTTTAGCGTAAGCTAGAATTTAACACATTAACGCCCAGGCAGCTAAGATCTGTACCAGCAACACGACCACAAAATCTATGCCAAGTTGTACATAAGTATGTAAATCTAACTCAGAGTCTTAAACATTTGCATAGGCATTTTATCAACCCATTTACCCATTTGTTTTACTTGATGTTCGCGTTATTCAAAATATTATTAAAGCTATGAATTGATTTAATTCGTTTTAAGAACTGTACATATTTCAGCATATTAAACATATAATTTTATATGCATAAACCGGAACAATATATACCAGATTAATGGGTGACTGTGCTAGATAGGTTCATCTGCAATCGACATCCCGTCAACATTTCAACAATATCGCCTGAATAGATGCCGAGTTGTTGCACACTGTGGATAAAGATTAGATCGAAATAAGTATAAAGTTCTATTTGAAGTTTTTTTTTGAACGTTTCAATTGAGGTGTGTGGCGGAGGAAGAAAGGCGAATGATTCTGAACCCAATAGCAAAGTGCTGAACGGATTAGTCAAATCCAAGTAAATATAATATTGATTTGTTTCCACAATTCGAAGGTAATTTTCTATCAGAAATTCGTTTCTTTTGAATTGATTTGATAACTACTAATTACCTTTTTCGAAAAATTGTAACCATAATTCTGTTTTTGCACGGCAGATTGGTTCCAGAAACAACCGTGTAAAAGAAGACTTTGGTGATTGGTTCCTTATCTTTAAAGCAATATATGTACATATATGAAATTTTTTAATTTTCAAACCGTGATATATTAAAATCGTGTAAAAAAAAAAAGACCGCGTAAAAACAGAATTTTGTGTATTTGCCTGTGAAAAGAAACGCTATAAGGGCGTTGCCCTTCAGAAGGACCTGCTGGTTCGACGGCTAAAAAAACACTTCTTCGACATTTTTTTGGATTTTTTAAAAACTCCTTATTAGCTTGGGACGTACTTTCGACATACGCACCACTTACTTATATACATTCTAGTATATGGAGAACAATTTGTATTCCATGATTGGGAAAACTCAGTTGCAGAACTTCTGATTTCTGTCACGTATTTTGGATGAAGGCGCGACTGTGCCGTGGTGGCGACGTTGGCCGTGGCTCCAACTTTTGACTATTTGGCCAAATGCGTGAGGCTTGGCCCGCCGCTTCTCAGCGCTTGTCGGCATGTCTGTGTGTATGTGTGTGTGTGTGCATATAATTATTGTTGTTGTTAATTAACTGAAATCGCATTTATAAAGTTACTTGAAGCGCACACGCACATAAATGCATGCACAGACGTATGTACATACATATGTATGTACACACAGTTACTTCACACATATGTACATGCATAGACATACATAAATTCATACATATGTACATACATCTGTATGTATGCATCGCAACGTATACAAAGTTTTAATTGGCAGGCGGCGAAGTTGACCTGACCTCTAGCGACCGTACACACACACACACAGAGACACAGACACACACACACACACATAGAGAAAGAGAGAGAGAGAGACTGGGACGCAGACGCGCGACACTTTTGAAAGTGCATTTTAAAAATATATGTCTGTACGTCTGTATGTTTGATTTTGTGTATGTACTTGTACATATGCATGCGTTTATTTGAGTGCATACTAATATGCTCCAAACTCTTTTTATTCAGAAACAAACGCATATAGCATTACATTTTTTTTTTTAGTTTACTTGTATGCTCCTGCTGTTTTCATATTAACGCCAAACTCGCAATTGCAATTAAATTATTACATACAGCGAGATTTTTGCAGTTCAAACAAAGTGTCGGTAAATGTTACTGCAGTAGTTTTATAACATGTTTCTATACCCTGTACCCAAATGGGTATACTCGTTTGCTGCGCATGTATGTAACACACAGAACGGGGCCGAGGCAGACAACAACAAAGTATACACCTAATTCTGTTTTTACACGGTTTGAAAATAAAAGAATTTTATATATGGTTGCACGACTTTATTTCATTTAGCACGATTCATTTTGCATATGATCATTGACTTTTTTTACACAATTTTTTTGTATACGACTTTTTTAGAAACCAATCTACCGTGTAACATCGGAATTAGGTATACATATATGTACTACTTGATCAGCGTGACAAGACGAGTCAATGGTTTCAAGATTCGCCCAAGTCCGAGAAAGGGCGAGTTTTTAAATCAATCTGATTCAATTCATCATGATAAGTCAATTGCTATAACTTAATATATAAATGTTATCTCTGCCCGCAGTTGTTGTTGCTTTACACAAGCATAGGCACGCATAGACACGATCCCCGTACAAATGTATGCTATTGAAACTGTACTCCATATGTATGTCTTTATTAATGTATGTATGTATGTATGTACTGAATATTTTCTATTTAATTAATTAAGTATTTTTTTAAATTTGAAAAACACATTTTTTTTTTACAGGGTATTAAAGAGTTGAGTCCGCTCGACTCCAGCAATCCTTTCTTGTTATAATATGCTCTAATGGCATATCATTCCTACTGGCTTTTATGGGCGTACTCTCCCCCCATCTCCCACCCCTTTTCTGACCGCATGTGACAATTTTTAATAGCAACAAAAAACTTGCTGGTCAACACACACATACACACGCACACGCATACACACACACACGCACACACTCACCAAAAGCCATTAGCAAAGTTGTATAGAGTTTGTTCGGGAGTTTGTGGTTCTGTGCACTTGACTGGACAGCTCAGGACTCGGTGAAAGTAAGCTATAAATAAATAGAAGAAATACACATATTTATCTAAATAAATGTTTCTATACTTTTCTCAATCATTCAAAAGATTGATAGATATAAAATAAATTTGAAAACAATAACTCCCTTTTTTGACACGAAAGCTCTACTAAATTGGTTTTGCCTAATCTCCATTAGAAAAACGCAACATCATCAGTAATATCAGTTCTCCATCAATTGATGACGATTTTGGAGCACGAATTCTTTCCCTGAACGTCTTGCTCAGCAGTTGATGTTCTTGGTCGTCTTAGATGTGGTTACTTTTCCATTCTTTGCACAAAATTTGGCTTTTTTAAAAATTACCCTTAGCCCAGATGAAAATGGAGAGGATATTGTCGCTTTTTCTGCAGTTCCCAATTTCTGTTCAATAAAATACATAGATTTTATGCGATTATATACATAGCTTCATATAATAATACAAATCGCTAGTTTTAAATTTAAATCCAAATGTAGTTTCTAAAGAAATATCGTAGTCTCGTGGTCTCCTTCAGAAATATTCAAAATATTTGCATTTTTGGTAGGATGTTTTTTTTGCGTATCCCATTGTCTATATTTTTTGAAATCACAAAACTAGAGCAGAGTGTAGAAAAGTTGTAGAATATTAGATGAATGTGTGATCTGCCGAGATAAATAAAACCCGATTTCAGTCGGATGGTAAAGAGTTATTTTCCACTCAGTTACGGGTTTATTTACAGGAGAATTATTTTCTTTTGGTTTTGTGTTCTTTCTGGTGGTCGTATGGTTAGCAATCGTGGTCGGGACTTTTTATTTGTTCAAAAAGTTTAATTATGGCTATTACTGTTTCTTCTTTAAATAAAGAAGATAATGAATAAAATTTGAGAGAGATTAAAGCATTGTTAAGTATTTTCTAGGCGTTTGAAACAAATACAAATAAAAACAAAACAAAAGAGAATGTTATACATAGATTAGTGAGCCCGACAGTCAAATACTTGGGTCTGTAGTACTAGAGTAGACTTAACAGCGTTTCGAAACTCAAAGAATGCTAAGCAACATGTCCGTAGTTTGGGATAAATTCACTAAAATGATTATCCGATACATATGTATGTATATGTATCTACATATATATATTTATGAAAAATTTCATGGACATTGATTGATTGAAGAATATTCTGAAAGTAAGTTACTTGTATTCTTAACTATTTAGAATTTCCTATTTACAATAATGACAAAAAAGAAGCATATAGAAAAGGGCCATAAGTTTTTAATTTCATTACATTTCAGTTATAGGTATTTGGAATAGGAAAGTAACATCCTAGCCTAACCTGCTCCCTGGTTTTTCCTTTGAATACAAGTATGAACAATTTCAAGGAATATACCAACAAGTGTTCAAAAATTGTCAATTATACATACATATATCGACAATTTGTAAATTCAATAAAATATTAAAAATATTTAAATTAAATACACATTCTTATGTACATACTTATATATTTCATTTCTAATCTCTCCCATTATAACGGCAAATACATATTCAAATTAACCGTCAGCTGCCAAACTCACTCACACACGCTATACTCAAGCACAAGTGACTCAAATGTTTGCGTTGCGCAAATCAAACCCTAGATGGCGTCGTTGCATTTATACATTTGTTTTGAGTGCTTCTCTGCTTTTCACTCGTTATTCTTTTGAGCGCTATGCGCTTAGGTCTTGCGCCAGCCAGCCAGTAAACCAGCGACCATCAGTTTGTTTTGTGCGCGTGGTTTCGACGGTTGCGTTGCGTTAGTACGCCAGAATTGTTCGTAGTTGTCGGCTTGTCGTGTGTGTTGAAACGAAATCGCACGAAGTACAAAGTAAAAGAAAAACGTTGGTGAATTTGTTTTATGCTCTTTTTGCTGCGCGTCGATCGTCAGCGTCGTCGGCTTGCGCAGCAGCAGATCATCATAAACCATTTTTTTTTGTTTATTTTTTTTAATATTGTGTATGTGTTTCGTGCGCTTGCTGAAACAAAATAATAATAATTTGTGTAAAATGCACATAAATACAAATACCAAGAGGCGCTAACAACAGCCGAGTGCAAAAAGTGCGCCAATAAATTGGTTATGAATGGTTAAACAATTGCTTTGGCGCGCCGATTGCCTGCCTGCATGTGTGTGTGTGTTTTAATAAATACAAATTTCGAGTTTTATTTAATTCTGTTTTATTTGTTGGCCTAGCTGTATATGTACATGAGTGTGTCTGTATGTAGGGTTGTGTGTGTCAAGTGAGAAGCAACAAAAACGGCAGCCAAAAAGAATTGCATGTTGAAAACGAGTTCTTGCAACCAGTCGTCGCAGTCGAGGTTGCGGTGCCAGCAGCTTCGAAGAAAAGGGTTCCACACTAAAGCAGCAAACATTAACAACAAAGAGTACAACAACAGAATTCCAATAAAATTGTAGCGCTCACTAGATGGCGTGCATTTCGCTGCCGACGTCGCTGCTACTGAGCGATCAACGCGCCTCTCTCGCGCTCTCTTTATATTTTTTGTGCTGTTGCTGCCGCTCCTACACTAGCGACCGTTTTACCTAAAGCAGGTGTGCGTGAGTATGCGAGTGTTTGTGGTGTGTGAATGTGTTTTGGATTGTTGTTGTGCGAATGACAACACAAAGCAAAGGTAGATAAAATGACGTTAGCGTTTGTTTAACTTTGAGTTGTGTGTTGTGTTTTTTCGGCTTTTGCTTTGGTGCATAGTTTATCAATTCCTCTCTCTCTCTCGCTTGCTTTTATTTCGCAGCCATAACTCTTGACTAATATGCTGCATCAAGCGGTAGCAGTAATAGCCAAAAAATGGCAGAACAAATTTTAACGAATTAATAATTAAAACAAAATATAAAGCTGCCGCCAAGTGAAAATCCAACAGCATCTCTAGAATTAAACATACATATGTATGTATGGAAAAAATATGAATAAGCCGAAAAATTAAATAACTTAAAGTGAATAAAAGTAACGACGCGACTACCACAAAAAGTAGAAGTAGAGGCAGAATTACAGAAATAACAACAACAACCACAACGGCGAATTGAAGAAACAGCGGCGTCTGCCATAAATGAAGGAAAAGCAGCGACGATCGTATTCGTCGTCGCTGCGACGCGTCAGCAGTACAACAACAGCACCAAAAACATCAAAACGAACAGCAGCAGCAGCGTGGTCTAAAATGCCGTCGTCGTCGTTGTCATCGTCGACGTCGCTGCTGCTGCTGCTGCTCAGCATTGCCGGATTCAACTTGGACAGCTGCTCATGTTACGCGGGTAAGTTCTGCGCTTCTTCTTCTTTTTGCATTCTCAAAAAAATAAATCGAGTAATTTTACACACACATACACACATAATAAACAAACAGCCGTGGGAAATTTTGTGGTGCTACTGTGTTAGGAAAAATATAAAAAGTATATTTGTATGTATACATATATGTATTATATACATATGTGTGTATGTATATATTCACATCTTGTTGTTTTGTATTTACAAGTACAATTTTGAGTGCATTAAATTTTGTATTTGTTTTGTCGCATTGTTATTGTTTACAATCAAACTAAGCTAAGCAAACTGACCCACTGGCCCCTTAAACTGCCACTCGGGGCAAATAACAGAAATAACAGCAGCAACAGCAACAATAACAAACCGACACGTAGTAGTTGCCCAAAACAAAAATCACATTTACACATGTTTTGTGTGTGTGTGTGGGTGTGCCCTTGTGTGCGTGCTGCATAATTTATATTCGTGCACAAAAACACAAAAAACCGTTAAAAAAGTTGCACCTTTTTCGCATATTTTGTTGCAAATCTTGTTCACACTCTCAATCTCACTTACACTTACACATATACAGACATGCATACATATGTATGTATGTATATATGTATGCATGTATATACCAGTTGTTTGAAACTCGCGCAAAAAATGGCAAAAATGTAAATTCAACACCTTTGCTTGGGTTGTTTTTTTTTTAAATGTTTTTCGCAGAAAGTAATCAAAAACTTCCACACTCATTTCTGTTCCCGTGTTTTCCTTTTTGTTTCCTACTCTGAGACATTTGCACATAATTATACCCCAACGCCAACAAATATAAGCATTTTAATACCGTATTCTTTCCGATATGTGTTGGGACACTGCCATAAAACGGCTACCCCCGGAGATATTCACAGAGCTGCAAATAATTATCATTGTTTTGCAATCTGTAAGCATTCTCAAAGCCGATTAGCTCCAAATAGGTTTTTACGTTGTTTCTTTCTTTCTAATAATTCGAGGAGACTGGGTAACTTAACAATAATATTAAATTGTCTTTGGTGCAATTTATAGTGGGAGAGGAACAACTAAGTTCAAATGTTTATGTATATTCTTATCTACAAGTATGTACATACATATGTAAATACTATACATATGTGCAGTGGCGGTGGAATTAGTGAACAGGTGCTTTTTCCAAAAACTGTTTTTCTGTCACTATTTTGTAATATTTTTGAGGCTGAGGTTAGGTATCGGTTTCTCGTTGGGGAAGAAATTCTTACTTACTTTCAAATGGAAAAGGTTTCCTTTTCAAAATATGTCGGTAAGTTAGGAAGTATTCTGAAAAATGAAGCAGTAAAAAATATAAATGACTGCGTTCCTCTCAGAATGCAAAAACGATGGAACTTAAATCATGCTTTCTAACTCTAGTTTCACTTTTAAAATAACGTAGATATGGTAGTCACAAAAAAAGAAAAATCATAAAAGTTTTGATTCTGGTAAAAAAAAAATCCTATGCTGTTCCCATAAAAAGAAATTCCAATTATTGGCAAACATAGAATCTTTTCGGGAACGCTGTAAAAAACTCAATCTCCAAAATATATCCCGCTATTAATTAAATTTGTTGTAAGTGTAAATATTTTCAAAAACTTAACATTTTTTAACTTTAAATACATTTTTAAATTGGTTGTTTCTTTTTAATTATTCGTTAAGAGGTTACGTTTATGTAATATTAGGACATCATTAAAGACAGATTCTTATAATAGTGCTATTTATATATATACTTAAAAAGTAGAAAGGGTATATAAGGTTTGTGCGCAGTTAAAAAATAACCTATTACATCTGCCAATTCTGCAATACCCATACCCCCATTTCTGGAAAGCACATTTTATCAGAATGCCAATAATTTAAAAGTCGCCTTATCCCAGCACTGGACCCATCCACCTTCCATTTTAGTGCTTCTAAAGACAATTTTAAAATACTTGTATAGTTTCTTAAATTGAAGTATAAAGAAACTAAAGTAAATCATAGCCTAACTGTTACTTTAATTACTTTTAAGCTTTATATAAATAAATATGAAAATAAATAAGAGTGCGTTTTATATTTCCATAATCTCGGCCAGTAAGCCTCCACACACTTTTTGGAGTTATTTCACGGGCAATGCTGTTCTTTCTTGTACAAAGACCAGCTAATTGCCAGCTTAAAAAAAAAACAAAACAAAAAACAAATTTTATTTTGCAAAATGTTTTATTAGCCAGTTTTCATGCCCGTCGGCTGCATTAGCATCAAAATAAATATATTATTTGCAGGTGGTTGTAAGTTTCATGTAATTTGTTAGAATTGACGTGCAACAACAATTATTGAAATTCGAACCTAGCTGTTAATTGAATAAACACAAAGGTACTTACATAAGTAGGTAAATATATATTACACTATTTCTATGTAATTGTTGGCTGTCAATTAAACAGCGAATATTATAACTAAATGCGCAGCCTTCTTATGGATATTCGACAGTGGACATCACATCATAGTATTCTAAATGTAAAGCTATTTAGAACAAACATCAGTATTAATTACACAATTGTAAAAATACATGTTTAATAATAAGATTATATGGCCTATTTGAACATTTGTAGGCCTTTTAACAATTGATTGAATGGCAGCTATTCGAAAGGATGATTGTGAACAAAATGAAAATGAGAGTTGTTAATAGTTTGTTACAAGTGTGCCAGCTACATCAAAAATTCTATATATATAGCATTCATACATCTATGTCTACTCATTGCAGAACCTGTTTGTTCCATCCATTATTTAATCAACCGTCTATTCTAAACATTTGTTTCTAGATTTTCTCTCTTTATCTATGTACCAGTTATGCAAATGGCACAGTATGAACATATTCTAGATCTAGATCGACTGCAAATCTCGAGAAACGATTCGTGAAATTATAACGTAATTGTATTTTGCTTAAGATAAAAGTGTATATATTTTGAAGAAATGATTCAATTACCTTGAATATTATTTAGAAAAAATTGAACATTTTGTTTAAATAGGAATTGCGTTTTTTTTTTTTTTTTCAAAAGACGATTTTTTTCATGAAAGAGTCTCTGTGGATCAGATCGCCTTTTGTAAAAATTATGAAAATGATGAGAGGAATACATACGACTGGCTAGGAGGATGGTTGGCTGGATAACTTGTCCCCAAACGCAACATTCATTGTTAATAATTGTCTGCCAGACAAGTTTTAAATCCATGCATGTCTCTTCAGATCCGCAAAAGACGAGACTCTGCAGTTTTTATTTTCACTGCAATAGCCCTGAAAAGTCGAATGCCAGCCAGATAACCAGTTGGGACCCACCTGTATATTTATTTATATTTTGCAATGCGATTATGTGATTTAATTCACTTTTTGTTTTTTAATTGCAGTCTCTCATTTGTGCTTGCATTTCGAGATGCGTGGAAATTGCTGACAGAGCTCATAAAAAATATAAAAAAGTGAAATAAAAAGCGAAATTAACAACAAGCCGAAGCGTCAAAAAACTATTGTTGATAATGTGGATCATGTGCCGACGCTACATGAGATAATTTAATTAAAACACTGTTTTCGGAAACACTGTGTTTTGTTTTAGCCCGAATGCCCAAATTTTCGAATTATAGCATTCTACTCTTACCCCACTCCCTGGCTTTGGTAACTTAAGCAGAAAAATGTGCCTAGAGCTGATTTACAAATTGCTTGTCCAGCTGTCTTTTCTCTCTCCAGGTTTGGGTTTTGCTTTTTCTTTGCCAACACAAAACAAAAGATAATTTTTTACGCAGCTCGTTTTTCATGAATTCTCGGCTGGCTTGTCTGGCAAAGAACAAATACATATACAATTTTAGGGCATAGACACAAAATTTTTGCATGTTGTCTTTGATAATACAGCAACTGTTTTTAATTGGCCTACTTATCCGTCCCTTTGCTTTCGCCTTCGCCTATACCGATTGATTTCAGGCTGTCAGATCATTTTTGGTTTGAGGCCTCACACAGACATGTTAATTAACTTGTTGCAAGTTTTCCATTTCTAAGGCACTGCAATAAAAAAAAACATGTGTACAGTGGCGGCTAACAAGAAGTGAACGGCTGTTAAAATGCAAACTGGCTGGACTTTATCGTTCAACGTTCAATTAGATACTTTTAAAGAATAGAATAGCGAATATAACTGCGAAGATGAGAGTCGAAATCATATTTAAGAATTTAAATTGTTTGTGTTATTCAATGTTCAGTGACTCAATCTATAAAATCTATTCTAAATTAATTAACTAACTTTGAAAACAAATTGTGAGCCATTCGAACGCCTATATCCTGATTCTCAATCATATATAAAATTTAATGCGTGATCTGAAATAATAAAAATAATAGAATAAAATACCAACGCATTTAAAGCAACAATGGGACAAAATATAAAAATGTCTGCTTTTTTATCTCTAAACCCTCAAAACTTTTTTGGAAATACATGGTAACAATTTTGAATGATTAAGCTTTCTCCAAATCTCCTCAGATTATCAATAATCTCCGAAAATAGTCAACATAAATTTACATTTGGCGACCAATTTCAAAAACAAAAATTGTTTTTCAGAATATTTAAAAAGCTTTAATTTTTCTCATCAGGAACATGTGTGTTAGTTCCATAAGCGAGAAACTAAAAAAAAAGCAATTAATTCATTGGTTTTATGTGTAAAACCTTGCTATTGTAGGCATGAACACCACCAGGTACTGTTCTTAGCTTTTTATTCAACGAGAAATTGCTTATAAATCGATTCCAATATACATTTCGAATAGTTGGAGTGCTTTCAATTTAAAATTGTCTTAAAAAATGTAAGAAAATGAATATGAAATGGTTTCACAATACATTGACGTTTTGTTTTTGATCTCGACCATAACCCGATAGACTGGTCTAGACCTTTGTGCTCATCATTGTCCCAATCTCAATGCCCGCTATTGTAATTACAAGTACATGGCAAACTTATGACGCTCGCCCTAGTTTAGGCTAGT